GATAGATAGATAGATAGATAGATAGATAGATAGACAGATTCCATTCATCTTTTGATTAATATGGTATTAATATTGTATGAAATGATCTCAGATTGAAGGAAATTAGAATAAAATCAAGAAAAAAAGGCAGTGGACGCTTATGTCTCACTACATTTAATCTGTAGCGGTAATATGTGAATAAACTAAACAGAGAGATTTTTTTTTTCTTTTTTACTAATAACTGACAGTGTCATATTGAAACGAATGAAATGCGTAATCCTGATTGCTCAGTGTTTCTAATCTCTCAAATGAAATGAATCAACATCTCTGTATGAGATGCTATCAGTATAACTGTATGACTGCGAAACCTTGACCTTCAATATTGCAGTTAATCACACTGCTGCATAAAAAAATCAAATATGAATCAAGCTAACGAAAGCACAGATGCAGAGAAACATGACTGAACACAGAATCAAGCTGCTTTCACAGGAGAAGTTTCTGCCTCTCACGCTTGCCTGCTGACAATAGTCTTACAATTGGAAAGCCACTCGTCCAATTTAACCGGCTTATTATGAGCTGCACCTAACAGACCCTTTTTCTTCCAGAAGAGGTGGACGAGATGTTCCAGGACTTGATGAACCTGTTATGTATTGCACAATATAAGGTATAACTGCAGGAACATCTTAGCTTGGCAAATCCAGAAAGTGTACGAAAATGATGCCAAATTCTGTGTTGAATCTAAAGCTGATCCTATAAACACTGACATTCAAAAGTGACTGTTTTACTGCATTTTTAATCAAATAATGACTCTTATGAACCAGTTCTTTGCAATGAATAACTAAAAGGTGCTTTGACACAATCTGTATTGTTAAAAGCGCTATATAAATAAAGGTGACTTGACTTGACTTGACTTAAAAAATTACTCATAAATCGGTATAAATGTTATCAGCCTGAATCATTCTAACGACTCGCTCACTCACTGATGTATGAGCGAAGCTAATCATAATCTGAAGTGGACTTATGTGTTCGTATGGTAAGTGAGGTTTCAAGTCTATTTTGACAGACAGGAAATTGCCTGAATTAAGAAGTACATGCAAAGCATCGTGGGTTGCTCCTGTTGCTCTTTTATTCATGTCTGCGTGATCCCTTGTCACACTGTGACGCAAATACAGCACACTTCAGCAGCTAATAAAGGAAGTAAAAAAATAAACTCTAGCCACTGTGAAGTACGTAATTCACTCGCTCAAACAGAACACAACAGCATTGATTACTCCTTTGTTTTGTGGACTTTCGGTGGCATTACCTCAGCTCCGGGAGAACCGTGACTCACTCACTCTTTCAATCACGCCACCATCGCGAGAGTCACTTGTAGCGAGCAAAATCATTACCAGGGCCATGACGAGGCAGCGTGTGGTCATTTGCATAACTGATTGCACCAGTAATTTGGTTATTTTTGGGTGAGTTATGTCTGATTGGTGGATACGAGTGCAATCCGCCGGCTCTCTCTGTCTCGAGTGCTCTAGTCAGAGAGGTTGCAACTCTCTCAGGCTTTTGCTGAAGAGACGTGATGTTACAGCGAATCAGCGAGATGCGCTCAGATGCTGGTGTTTTGATTTGGAGTTCAGAGGATCAGAAGAGTGCAGAACGTTCTGTGCTGTGAGAGAATAACCTGGCAATAGCAAAGAATAATGGCTGAAGTATGATATAATTTGAAGCGTAATGTCTGGAATTTATGGTTCCTTATTCTAGCTGAGACCCATCAGCTTAGACACAAAGGGGCCATCTGACACTGATTAAATATTTGAAAGTGGGGTACAATGCTGTTTCATGCATTCAGAGTTGTTTACACTGTTAAAGAGTTGGATTCTCATACTATTACTAAATACTATGACGGAGTATTTCTGTGCTAAAAATCTTACTTCCGGGTTCGTACAAGTTTCTGAGAGTTTTTTTCGATCGTGGCTCTTCATGACTTAGACAAGGGTGGAACTCCTTATATGGGCATTTCGGTAACACTTTAGAATAGGGAACACTTATTCACTATTAACTACGACTTTTCCCTCAATAAATTCCTAATTTGCTGCTTATTAATAGTTAGTAAGGTAGTTGTTCAGTTTAGGTATTGGGTAGGATTAGAGATGTAGAATAAGGTAATGTAGAATAAGGCATTAATATGTGCTTAATTAGTACTAATAAATGGCTAATATTCTAGTAACATGCATGCTACACAGTTATGTATGCAGTACAACTAGTTAAGAAACCCTAAAATAAAGTGTTACCGGCATTTCTCCCGGAAGAGCGTGCCCGTGCACGCATCGACCAGAGCGAGAGCGAGATCGCGCCCATCAACGAGCGTCATCCGGCGGCAGCGCTACACGGGACTCGCTCGGGAAGAATGTCTTCAAAGAAGTGTGTGTTTAGGTTGTAAGGGAAAGATAACTTTGTTCAGCTTCCTAAAGAACCCAGCGTTATGTAAACAGTGGATACAGTTTGTTATTCCGGGGGAAAGCAACGGCGTTTCACAAGTGCGTTTGTTGACGAACGTTTTATAAACAAGGCCCAGTTCGACGCTGGATTTGCACATCGATTGATACTGAAAGATGGAGTGGCGTATATTTATTTTATAAATATGATAAAACTAAAGACTTTTTGGAGATATGAAGGATGCAGTACTACTCTATAGGTACTCAAGATTAACATGAGATTGGGTGAAACTGTGTGTGTTATGCCCCCTTTAATTGAAATCTGCATGTCTTAAAGGGACAGTCCACCCAAAAAATTAACATTCTCTCATCATTTACTCTCCCTCATGTCGTCCCAGATGTATATGACTTTCTTTCTTCAGATGAACACAAACAAAGATTTTTAGGAAAATAATACATCTCTATGCAAAAGGAACACGACGATAATCCATGCGACTCCAGCTGATGAATCTTTATAAACTATAAATCATTGCATTCAGCCAACAGCATATGTGGGTTAATCAAGAGTGTTGTTTTAAATATCTTAAGAAATATTTGTCACACACATCTATCATTCTATCACTTCAGAAGACATTGATTAGGCAGTGTAATAAATAATAGCATGATATATAAATATTTCACAATTTAAAGGGGTCATATGATGCGATTTAAATTTTTCCTTTCTCTTTGGAGTGTTACAAGCTCTTGGTGCATAAAGAAGATCTGTAAAGTTGCAAAGACTAAAGTCTCAAATCCAAAGAGATATTCTTTATAAAAGTTAAGAGTCAGCCACGCCTACCTAAAACGGCTCGTTCTAACACGCCCCCACATACCTACATCACTATGTGGGAAGATTTGCATAACACCGCCCAA